TAATAATCAATTTAAAATTCTTTAATTAACATATTATATTATTTTGATTTTTCTTTACTATCTTGTTTGTATTAATATATTATATTATTAAATGTTTGTTTTAATTATATTATAATTGAATAATTTTTCAAGATGTCCTTTTTGGTCATTTTACATGCTCATCAGCTACTGTTTGCCAAACATAATCGGTTTATCAGCTAGCTTATCAGTCATCGGCTAGCTTATCAACTAGTTTACCAAACATAGCCAAAGTCTTACGCAATAAGGTATGGGCATAAGTGACCAGAAAGTGCCCTAGGCTCAAAGTGTATGTGCTTGTCTCTGTCGTCCCTTAGAAATGGTTCCACTAATAGTCTATGCCTAAATAGAGATTTATTTGTGATATACTTGGTCATGGAAGATTAAAGATATGTATTCAACTTAAAATTATGACGATCTCAAGGTTCAGTATTCCTAATTCCTTTCTCGTTAGCTTCATCTTCTTCGGGAGCTGAGATTCCAAAGTTGTTACAGGCTCAAGGTGTGCCTAGGCCTAGAAGATGAGAAAACTTATTTAATATTAGGGTTTGACTGGGTAACTAATAATTCTTCATGAGGTGCGCCTAGGCCCATGAGGCGCCGGGGCCAAGACTTGACGCCTTAGTGAGCCTTGTGAATACGCCTAGCTTCGACTTTAGAAATTCCCAAGATCTTGAGTTTTATGAGCTTCAAAGCCTAGTTATGAGTTCTAACAACTATGGCATGATCCCAAGAAGAAGATAACAGATGTCCAAGGTAGACAGTAATGACAAAATAACCAAAGCGGTATTGTAGATGTAATCTTGCCACTAAGAGAATATACTACTGCACGACTTGAAATCCTTGTGATTAAATCATATTGTTGTGTTTGTAACTTGATTTTGCCTAATTTTTGCTCAAAGAAGGGGTCAAAAGAGTCAGTTTGATTGTAATTCTGCTGTATTAGATTCTCGTTTTTTATGATTACGTTACTTTTTATGGTGCAAGTCATGTTTCTTTTCTTTTCTTTCTGGCCCTTTGTTTTGTTTTAGGTCATGCTATTGAGAGTATTTTTGGAACTTGTCCTTTCAACTCATTCCCTTTTATTCATTTATCTTATCTCAACTAGACAGGGTAGTAAAATATATACACTAATTTCTTGTCCTATGGATGAATCAAATGAATGTACAGTTCTTCATATACGAGGTGTAAGTACACAAAAGATATGGTATTTTCTATCACTCAGTTAGGGTAAAGAGATATAAAGGTAGTATATGTATCTAGTCAAGTACTAAGAATTACGGAGTACATTGCAAATGAACAACCTAATGATATGTTGTCATAATACTGTACAGGAGGATGTGAGAAGAAGCGAGAATGAAGTAGAAAAATCGATTCTGACTTTGCAAACTTCTAGCTCTTTGAATGAAATTTCAGTTCTTTGTAACATTCCAGCACCTGATACAGTTCGTGTCGGTGAGCTGTCAAAGCTACTGCGGCTTGATAAGCATTCACTTACAGATATACTTGAGATACACTTTTCTGACGGGAGGATCATTGTTGATAACCTCCTTGAGGTAAGTTACTCTTGGCTTAGTCAATAGAGTTTATATTCTTCTAGGGACATGCTGATGTTATTCTCTACCTTATTCCCTCTACATATAACTTAAATAAGAAAATTGACTTTTAGTTTAATCTCAAAATATATGAGCTGAATGATTCTTCTGTTAAAAAAGTAGTCATTGAAGTTTCAAGGTCTTTTCCTTTGTATATTTGCTTAAAATATTCATCAATGGTATCCGTACACTACTACCATCATATCAATCAACAACCTCCCTCAAGTCGCCATTCAATTTATTAAAGGAAGTGGTTAACATGGACTAAGAATTTATTTGACCCAAGTACATGGGTTTTACGGGAAACATGTGGTTTGAAACAATGTTTAAATCTGCTCACTCTTTCATGAAGACAACAAAGTCAGCTCTCTTGCATTATTTAGTATGGCGGTAGTGCCATTACGTATGTGTCATGGCCCGATTTCATTGAGCTGGTATACCATGCCAGAGGCTTTCCATGCAAGCATTCTCCAAGGTAAGATCAAGTACTTTCAAGAAGATGCTAGGCTTATGTATAGGACTTACCTTATGGTCAATTTTTGAGTAAGGAAAGTTTATACAATTATACCTAGAAAAGTATATGTATTTCCGTACTAACTTTATATTTCCATGAGTAGAAACTCCCTAAAAAAGAATTAGGAAAAAGTAGGCATCTTGCTTGATTGGATAAATATTCTAGGGTTCAAGCATCTTTGGAAGAGATGATTGCCTCCCAAAAGTAGGTAATTTTGTATTGGTATTTGGTTTGATCAATAATATTGTGTTGGGTTCTATCAAACTGGTAGCTAAATATTGCAGTTCTCTAATGAATAACAACAAAGAAAGTTGATGAACTGGAAAAGAAATTTGAGGAGGAAACAAGAGACATGAGATCCATGATGTTGTCCCGGTTCATAGCAATGGACGAGAAATTTGCATCGATTGAGGAACTGTCATGGACAATTGTTGAGACTACAAATGCACAAGGCCCGGGATTTTCAGGCTTCTTTAGGCTGGTTTTTTTGGGTTGGGCCTTCTCCAAAATTTCGGGCTGATTGGGCTTTAGGTCCCTGTCTGGATTGGAATTTGGGCTCACTAGACCCGGGTTTTTTGGGACCAGGCTCAGGCTCAGGTTTTTTTGTGCATCTCTAGTTGAGACCTAGTCCCAAAATCGAGGGGGAAACCTCCGGAGGCTATAAATCTCGTCAATAAAGGTTGAACAAAAAAACAAAGTGAATGGAGGTTTGGTGGCAGCAATGACAAGAAGCCAGGATAAGGGAAAGCAAATGGTGGAGGAGACAATGGTGGACTGGTTGTTAGGGGAAGAGCCGACAATTGAGGAGATGATAAGCGGGAACCACCACATAGGACGAGGTTGAGATGTTGTGGTGAGATGAGGACCACTTGAACAGTGGGAACATGTGCATGGGCGGGTATAAGCATGATGATGGCAACGACAAAAGGTGAGTGCTGCCATATGTAGGCTGAGATGTATGCTACTATGGAGACAAAGGTCACAGGGGTAGCAACAAGGGATACTAAGACCAAGGCAATCGTAATATACGTTTGTAGGGTTTCGCTTAAAAGTAACCTTATAAAAAACACATCGGAAATTAAAATTTGAATTAATTAGGTTACTTTCCATTTGAAAACTTTTCAGAAAAAGAAACTCTTAATGGATTCAATGACACTATTATATTGAATTAAAAGAAACCATAGGGTGTTTAGATGGTTACTTTTTCGAGTTTGTTGACAGATTAGCCGAAGCACCAGAACCAACGTAGGTTTCGTCGTCTAGTGTGATCTACACACTAATCCACTTGGCTTCAACAAAGTGCTAGCCCAAAACCCTTTTGTAATCTAGTATGTGTTTCACAGGAAAAAAAATATAAGGTTTCTTTTCTAGTTTATTTGTAACCTAAAAGTATCCTAATGGATTGACATCATAGTCTTAGGTCTATCACCTTATTTATAGGTTGGCCTTTGGAATCGGAGATAAACCATAACTCCCAACACAGTCAGGTCGGGCCTACCTTAATCCTTAAGCTTAATAAGGTTTTATTTAGTTTTATTATCTTTTAAACCCTGTAATGATCATAATTAAAATTTTAACACATGCTTTAATTATTCTACTAGAATAATAATTAACAATCAATATCATAAACACGATATTATTCGGGTTTCTGATCAAATAATAATCATGTCGAATCATATGTATTCTTTGTATGCGACCCTATAGGTTTACGTACTCTTCAGCAGTATTACTTTGTGACACGTGTTGTAGGCATATAAAACTTAAAATTCTCCCACTTGTACATGGCGCACAGTGACGTAGACGGGTGGTAAGCGTCAAACAACACGTCACCGCCCCCAAAGCTACGTAAAACGTGATTCTAAAGCAGTTCATTGATTAATCAATCATATGGTATAATCACTTGTTATCCTTTTGCTACACTATTTTGTTTTGAACTTGAGACATAGATCTGACTCATCCCTTGATCTTCAAAAAAGTTATGTTTCTCGATTCCAACATATTTGATTAAATAAGTGCTATTAGTTCTACTCATCCAATTTTGCATGGCCATGTAGTAATATCAAACTATGACATCGAGGGGACCAAAAATATCTCTTGCAAATCCCATTTTGCATGTACACGACTCATGCACATCTTAGGTCTAAGGATAAAAGAATGTTCACCATCTCAGGACTCACTATATGACGCTGAACTATGAAGTGATCTTGATAGTGGGTCTTGTCCAACACTTCTGTTGACAAGCGCATGTGACTTTGGTTGTTGAACCCAATGCTCTTCCAACTTAGACTGTAACTAGACTTCACAATGATCCTATTTTATTATTAGTCCCCTAATAATAATCGACCGATGACAATTTAACATATTAATATGATCATCACACTATTTAAAATAGTAAAATTTTGAAGTTTACTAATAATATTAATTTTGGTTCTTTTGCGTGTGCTATGGCACCCTCATCATCCTAATAAATCTCGATAGTGCCACATGCTAGGAACCACTCCTAGGTCTGTGATGAATTTCTTCATCCAAACAGCTTCCTTTGCGACCCCGATACTACAATATACTTCGATTCTGTAGTCGAATCTTCTCTCGTCCTTTGCTTGTAGCTCTTCCAGCTAAAACCAACATTTAACACAAATACATCCTGACTGCGATTTAAGGTCATAACAGTTGGTATGGAAACTAGCATTTGTGTATCCTTGGATGCACAAATCTCTCTCCAGACCGCCGTACAGTAACAACATATCTTTAGTCCTTCTCATACTTTAGGATACTCTTAAGTGCTACCCAATGAGCATCACCTGGGTTCGGCTAGCATCTGCTCATCATGCTCAGGGCATACGAGATATCTGGTCTAGTACATAACATGGCGTACATAATGGAACTTACGGCCAAAGCCTAGGGAACACCCTTTACACGATCCAGTTCCTCTTTTCTACTAGGACACTGAGTCTTGTTTAGTTGTATACCATGTACATTGGCGAGTTCCCTTTCTTGGATACCTGCATCTTAAAGTGTCTCAAGACCTTGCCAATATATGTGCTTAGACTTAATCTAATTTAGAGCTTAGATCTATCCCGATCATTGTTTTAAAAAACGCCCCAGGCCTGCGCGACTTGAGGCGAGGCGTCCAAATTCCTTGTATGAGGTGTCGCCTCCTTCTCCTAAGATGGCGGCTGCGCCTTAAATATGCGAGGCTGTGATTAAGCGGTGAGGCGGTTCACAGGCGTACCGTTTTACTAATTGGAGTGACATAAGTTTTTTATTTATTGAGTAGATAGTGGGCTGCACTAAAATCAAACATCAACATGCGCTATATAATAATATTTGTTTTTCTCCCACTTAGTGCTGGAACCCAAAAGTCATATATATATATATATATATTTATTTTTTTCTTTCTCCCACTCAGTGCTGGAATCCAGTGGTGTACCGGCTGCATTCAGACTTGTAATATATTGATACATATATATATTTTGAGTGTTATTATTATATATAATATAATATACTAATAAAAAAAAATATGTACTAATATATATATATATATATATTTCTGGGCTGATTATACTTTATATATTAATATATATATATATAGAAATAAATATTTCTTTGTTAGTATATTATGTATGTGTAATTATACATAATATTTTGTTTTTGAATTGCTACTGCTACTTTTTACTCGTTGCATACAATTATATATAGTGTATATATATCCTGGTTCTGTATATTACGCTGTCAATACAAGCGTATATATTAATATATATATATATGTATTATGTTTTTGTATATTATGCTGTCACATAAAAATGTGTAACTATGTACATATACCTATACCTATATATATATATATATATATTCTGTTTTTTGGTTTATTATGCCGCCACATACTAGTGTATATATGGAATTATGTTTGTTTTATCAAGTCTTATGCCCTTATGAATTTTGTGTTTTATTTTTTGAGGCTTACGCCTCAACCGCGTCGAGGCTTACGCCTCACATACCTAAGGGGAAAAAGCCTCGGGGCTCCTTTCCGTTCTTTAAAACCTTGATCCCGATGTATCTTTATACCAAGAATATACATAGCCTCTCCTAAATCCTTCATCACGAAACGCTTCCCTAGCCATGCTTTTACACCTTCACTCATTGGGATGTCGTTTCAGATAATCATTATGTCATCGACATACACCGGCTTTCTTGAATATATAAGGTTCATCTTCGTTCTTTACAAAATCAAATTCCTTGATTTTCTTGTCAAAATGATGATTCTAACTGTGAGATGCTTGTTTCAGTCTATAAATAGATCTCTACAACTTGCATACTCGATCACGTACTTTGGATGCTTAAAAACCTTGTTGTTGTACCATGTACACGTCTTCACTGAGAGTTCCGTTAAGGAATTCAAATTTAACATCCATTTGTCATATCTCGTAATCATGATATGCAACTATGGCAAGAAGAATCCTGATAGACTTAATCATGGCTATCGGAGAAAAAGTTTCATCATAGTCAACTATCTGAGTTTGAGTGAAACCCTTTTACCAAAAAAGCATGCACAATCCCATCTATTCGGTTTACTTCTTAAAAAACCCATTTGCACCCAACGACTTTGCAGTCAACAAGTGCATCTACCAAGTTCCAAACCCGACATGTATTGTATCTCGGTCTTCATGACGTCATGCCATTCATCAGATTCCAATCTTGATACGATCTCCTATTACAGATTGATCATGAATTGTGTCGTCATTGCCTATGGGACAACCATATCTCTCAAGCCCTTGACGAGTCCTACCCGATATACGGATTGTTTCTCTCATTAGTACCCTCAACAACTTGTTAAGATTCAACATTATGTTGATTTCCGGTGTCAATGATTGTCTCATCTTCTGGTTCTTGGATTCTTCAGATCTATTCTATCCCCGTTGTGGTTCTTGTCATAAAATCATATTTTAAGAACTCACTGCAAAGAGCAAGAAAAACTTTGTTCTCTTTGGGTTCGTAAAAGTAATACCTAGTAGTATTTTCTAGACATCACATAAAGACGCATTTTCCAGACCTCGGTTCAAGCTTCCCAGAAGCTTCGTGCTTAACATAAGCGTCACAACCCCATATTCTCATGTAAGATAACTTTGGGATCTTCCCAATCCATAATTCATATGGGGTATTTCCTTCTTATTCCAGTTTCTGATTTTATTCCAATTATTCGGTTAATATTTCAAAGTTGCTCTGATACCACTGTAGGGTTTCGTTTAAAAATAACCTCATAAAAACGCAGCGGAAATTAAAATTTGAATTACCTACAACTTTCCCTTTTGAAAACTTTTTAGAAAAGAAACCCTTAATGAATCCAATGACACAAATAAACTGAATTAAAACAAACCATAGGGTGTTTAGATGATTAACTTTTCGGGTTTGTAGGCGGATTAACTCTAGAGTGATCCACAGACGAATCCGCTTAGCTCCAACAGAGTGCTAGCCCAAAACCCTTTTCCTAATCTAGTATGTGTTTAATAGAAAAGAATAAGGTTTCTTTTTTGCTTATTTGGTAACCTAATTGTATCCCAATGGATTGACATCATAGACTTAGGCCCTATCACCAATTTAACTCCAAAACATGTACCCGGCCTACCTTAATCTTTAAGAACATTTGTTTTAAGCCCAATTATTTAATTTTATTATCTTAATAAATTTATATGTAAATACATTTACACTTAAAATCGTGTGATTATCATAAATACAATTTTAACACATACTTTAATTATTCTACTAGAATAATAATTAACAACCAATATTATAAAGACATGACTTTAATTGGGATTCTGATTATCCAATAATCATGACGAAACATACGCATTTCTTGTATACGACCCTGTAGGTTTACGTACCCCTCAGCGTTATTACTGTGTGACACGTGCATGGGCATATAAAACTTACATATGAAATTTAGAACCCTCAAGACGCAATGATAGGGGAGAGAGGCGATCTCGTTTAGCAATATTACAACTTCTTTGGAGGCCACATAGGGAATGAGAAATATGCATCCTTTTAGGTCTTGGGTCTTGTTGGGGGTTTGGATATGATGTACAAGGGAGAGTGATGGGAAATATGCCACCTGTTGGGTTTCATTAGGAGTTTCAACATGGTTTTGAGGATTGCTCAATGCGGTAAATGAGAGAAACTTATGTGAAGGGATTGAAAGTCGATATATGTTCGAGATTGAGGTTGTGGAAACTAGGGAAGTGATTAATCTGGCACGGGGAAGCCGAGGGAAGTGATGAATTTGTCACAAACAATCGACATGAAAATTGTTGAATAGGTAAAGTAATGCAACATTCGGAGGTTATTATCAACAGGAAGGGAATGGAAAAAATCGAAGGGATCGCTAAACCTCGCCACCATAGAAACTGAGGCATCTTCGTGAGCTACCATAGGCCTTCGACCGAGGATCAAACGGATGACAGAGGAAAAGCTGTTGGACACAGGGTCAAAGCGTTATGTTCAAATGTAATGAGAAATTACATTTTAGGGCATTGTTCAAAGGGCTATGGAAAAAGTCGAGGGGATCGCTAAACCTGGCCGCCATAGAAACTGAGGCATCTTTGTGAGCTACCATAGGCCTTTTACTAGGGATCAAAAGGATGACGGAGGAAAAGGTGTAGGACATTAGGGTCAAAGGGTCATGTTCAAATGTAACAAGAAGTTATCACTAGGGCTCTGTTGGTCCACTATCACTAGGAGTTAATGTTGCCAAAAGGGAGCTAGAAGAGGAGAAACCTCATTCCTGCAAGGAAAAAAAGGCACTAATGAGCTTCCACCCTGAGGATAATGTGTCTTCTAGGAAGGGAGTAATGTTAGACCTGCACATGGGATTTACCCGAGGGATACTAAAGTATCTTTTCAGAGAGGGTCTCAGTTCTAGGTTTTTTGGGATTAAAAAATGGTCCCAAATTTTGGGGTTGAATTGCAGTTGGGTGAAATGAGAAATGTTTTGGGCATGAGAAATTTTTGGGCCTACTTTAGGGTCTCATGACAACAAAGAAACTGGAATCCCCAAATTGATGTTGAATGATTGAGATCATGAATTTGGACTGGGGACAAGGTGTCATTTTGGGAGGGTAATAATGTTGGACCAGCGCATGGTATTTACCCTAGGGTCAATTTTTGAGTATAGGAGTAAGGAAAGATTATGTATTTTCATAAAGAAGAAACTCTATAAATAAGGATTAGAAGCAAGTATTGAGCTTGATTGAGGATTCAATTAAGCATCTTTGGGAGAGATGGATGCCTCCTAAAAGTAGGATGACTTTGTATTTAATTCTCGTTTGTAAGCTTTCAATAACATATCTCATGGTTTCTTTTATAAGACACTACAATGCTCGAGGTTAATCTAATATTCCTTATAGTTCTCACCGACCTTGTAATTTATAGAAGCTTCATGATACTGTTGGGATTTCAGGAGCCGTACACGAAGCAAAATAATAAAATTAACCAAAATCCTGAACCAAGGATCCATGTGAAACACACCCCAAAAGTCATACATTATAGATTAAAGCTACGAACTATGTGTTGTAGTGCGTACAAAGTTTTCAACTTTAATGTTGAATCTTTAGGCTTGAACGTTCCAACCCTCTAATTGTTCCACACGAACACCAAAGTTATTATAAACATTAAAAGATTTCTTATTTTTTTTTAAAAGAAACTTTAACGATGGAAAGGGGGAGGGGTTATTTACTTATTTTATCAAAACCCCTTATATAGGAAACGTCGTAACTCATGTGTCCTTAAAATATTCTTTGTTAGAAGTTTGGAAAAAATCATTAACAATTCTCTTGCAGGTGGAAGTTCTTTTCTATACAGTTAACCGATATTTCATTTGCTATTATCAGGGAAAAGAAACATACCTCCGTAACAAGATATTAGAGTCTGACATAACACTTCATATTGGAAAACATGAACTTGAGTTGGCTTTGAGGTTAAATTCTGCTGTTTATAATGATGACCTCTATCGTGCAAAGCGTTTGGTTGCAGCTGGAGTAGATCCTAATAAGACAGATTATGATGGAAGAATGCCTTTGGTATTAATCCTGAAATACTTTTCTTTTTTATTAAAGATGAATATTGTTTCTTCTTTCTCAATCCATTTCCTATATACAGTGTCTGCTTGATGTGTGAATACTGTTACTTTCTTTCACCCTTGTATTTGTGTATATAAAGGCAAACTGAAGATTTCAGCAGCAAAGTTGTTTTACATGTGGAAGTCTGTTAGTTTCATAGTATACAACATGAATCATCAATATTGTCATATGTGAAGTTTTTTAAAACTGCATTTGAGGGTTATGTGAGATGCTAGTTTTGTGTTTGTGTTTACATGAATGTTATACCACAACAACAGTGTATGCAAACAAAATACACATCTACTTGATTTAAGAAAATTGTCAGTGTTTTTTTAATTAACCTGGATATCCAACCCGCTATGCGAGCTGACTAATCCCAGGGCGACCATCTGCTTTGCAGATAGCCCGAAGTCACCGTATTTGGACCTCCGTGGCCACAAGGGGATTTTTATTCGTCCTTGGATTTGAACATACTTTTGACCTTTGGAGCCAAGCTCAAACCAATCAGGCACCACCCTTGTGGTTGAAAATTGTCGGTGTTAACAATGTTGAGCAAAAATAAAACCATGAAAATTATTCTACACTTCAATTTTATTCATAAATTAAGATAAAACTTCCAAATAGGAAAAGGCAACTTCCTAACTCAAAAAGAGTATATATTCACGTTCTGTTAAAAAAATAAAACTAAGTAATTAAGTTCTCTACCAATAGCAAAATAGAATTAATTTAACTGAATGTTTAGTATATTCTCTTTTTCTGTTTTGTTGTCATTTATTTATTTTACTGATATTTTTGTTACTTATTTATTCTCAGCATATTGCTGCAATCAATGGATTTGAAGACATTGTTGAGTTTCTCATGCAAAAGGGATCGATAATCAATGCTACAGGCATGTTCTTATGTGCAGAGTTTCATTAGTCATAATAATATTTAACACAACTAAATATATGATTAATTCCTGCTATTTAACGTATGATGTAGATAATCATGGAAATACTCCATTATTTGAAGCCATCAAGAATGGCCACAATCAGGTGATTTCCATGCTTGTTGAAGCAGGAGCATCTTTAGACATCAATAATGCTGGGAATTGTCTTTGTATGGCTGTTGCAAAGGGGGATATAGAATTTTTGAGAAGGGTCTTGGCCAACGGGATTAATCCTAACTCGAAAAATTATGATCTTCGTACACCACTTCATATCGCTGCTGCAGAAGGATTGTATTCAATGGCTAAGTTGATCTTAGAAGCAGGAGGGAGTGCATTTTCCAGAGACAGGTATGGTCTAAGCTTCACATTTTCTTTCACATAAGGTAATGATGAAACATGCCACACATAATCCAGGGTGTTTCAAGAACGAGGCAACATCACTTCAATTTTTTTTTGGAAATGAATTATCACTTCATTTAACAAGTACGCTTTGGAGTGACGTTTATTACCAAGCATAAACTGATAAATATTAGTTGTCTGTTGTATCTTATCTATTTTATAGTTTCCTATTCCTATGATAATTAGTAAACTTTAAGATAAATAAGGAGCCTTCTGTTTATAAATACATGAAATATTTTCTCTCATATAGTTTTTCATGGTATGAGAGCGGGTTTGAAAATATCCAAACCTCTCATGTTGAATTTCCTACTAGTGACCCTAGCTGTGTTTCCTACCAACAACCAAGGTAACTTTCTCCTCTGCCTGCTACTTAAAAAAAGCTGGCCACTCCTTTTGTATCAACATAAATAGTAATGTCGACTTCAAGTTTGAGTCCATCAGCTAGGTTACTTAAATAGGTTGCACGCTTTCCAGCCTCTATTGTTAGCGAAATGAAAACACTAGGGAAACATGGGATCTTGTCTTACAATATCCAATTGTGCAACCGATTCGCGTAGAAACAGGCAAGATGAGGCCAAATAGATAGAGTAAAGAAGCTTTACGTAGAGTGCTATGAAGCATGGCTTATTCCATCTAATTCGAGATGCTATTCTTCTTTCCTTTCTTTCTTTAGGTAGAGACTTTGCTCAGAGTCAAGAAAGGAGCCAGTTGTGTTTCCTGCCAGCAACCTTAGTTGTGTCTACCAGCCCCGGAAACCCTAGTTGTGCTCGTCACCTTTCGAAATAGTTGCTGGACTAGAAACTCGCCACCACTGTCCAACTCTGAATCAGTTCAAAAAGAGAACCCAGAAAACTCGGTGTCACGCGCTCATACACACCACTATCTTAACACACGTAGATGTCACGCGCAGCCGTCATAGGTTTTGCGTGACGGTGCATCGCCGGAATCTTCCTGCTGTCTCTTCACCTCATTCTGACCACTTTCGGTGAGCATCATTTGATTTCGACGCAACTAGACTTCTCAAAAAACCAGTGGAAGAAACAAGCAAACAATCCACTCGAGTTTTAGTTTTCTTCGTCTCCTGTTCTTTCAGCTGAGAAATTATTAGGTTTAGATAATTATATGACGTGGTAATTAACTGTCGAGTTGTGGTTCATTGGTCAAGGCCTTTAAGATCACTTGGTAAAGTAACTTAAAAAATATCGATGCGAAGAACCAGCTTAACTGGAAACAAATCGATTACTTCCTTTGTAATGCCCTTTGGAATTCTATTGATCGAACGATTGTTGCTCAGTACCGATCCTATCGATCTTGTTACGAAGTCTGGCAAAAGGCAAAATAAAACTTTAATCATGCAACAAGAATAGGATATGCAGACCTATCTTGAACACATTGGGACTATTCGATAGGAGTTCAATGAGATGATGCCATCCTCTGTACTGCAGGAAGAACATGGAAATTCTTTTTAGTTCTTACACTTGCCTACCTATGCCTCAATTACAATTTAGTTCGTAACCAAATTGTCTACTCCTAGAATTCCGAATATTGATGGTTTGCTTGAGCAGTTTTTCGTATTCTAACACCAACAAACATCACTGGTTTGACTACTACCCCAATTGATTCTACTATTCTTGTTGCGTATGAGGAATAGGGGAAAGGTCAGGGGAACTGGAATCATTCTCGGTGCACTCGTTGTTATAAGATTGCTCATGCAGTTGGATCCAATCAAAGATGAATTAGATCAATTAATATCATGAAAGATGAATTGAATAATACTTTGATGTGTCTGATTTAATTATACTAGGCCCTATATATGGGGTATTTACAAGAGAGATAAACGGAAATAAATCAAGGCAAAGAGGAAATTATATGCCATGATTATATGGTTTTCTCCTAATCTAGAGACTATACATTTCAACACTCCTCCTCAAGCTAGGAATAAATATTTTCCATTCCCTGCTTGGAATAAGATCATGGAAGCTTGAACTATTTAAACCTTCTGTTAGAACATCATCTACTTGACACTTCGATGGCAAAAAGCACATGCAGACTAAACCTCCTTCCAATTTCTTTTCATTGAAATGCCGATAGATTTCAATATGCTCTCCTATCAAGTTGAATGGGATTGTGAGCAATATTAATAGCATGTTGTCGCAATAGAGCTTCATTCTGTAAATCATTCATAATAATCATCAACCATAATAACTCACATAATCCGTGAGCAATAGCCCTAAATTCTGATTCCTCAGATGATTTTGACCCCTTATTTTTTTTCTTGCTTCTCCATGTCATTAGATTACCTCCAAGGAAAATGCAATATCATGTGGTCAATATATGATCTGGTTTGGAACTTACATAGTCAGCATCGGTGTAGGCTTCAAGAGTAAGAGTTCCATTTTTCTTAAACATAATATCTTTCCGTGGGTTACCTTTCAAGTAATGCAGTACCTTGTAGGCTGCTTGAAGAGGTTCTCTTGGTGCACATGAATTGACTATACACTCACCGAGTAGGCTACGTTTTGCCGAGCTTGAGCTAGATATGTCAGTCTGCCCACCAACCTCTAGTACATTCTCTTGTCAACAACAAGTGCTTCTTTAGCTTCTCCCGATTTGGTTCTGGTCAATTGGTGTAGATACCGGCTTATACCCACTCTTTCCTGTTTCCACCAATAAACTGTTCACCTACTTTTGCTGAGATATGAAGACCCCTTAGAGTATGCCACCTCAATTCCTTGGGAAGTATTTTAGTCTTCCTAGTTCTTTGATCTCCAATTCTTTCATCAATCTCTTATTTAATTCCAACTTTTCCCTCATCATTTCCGGTAACTATGATGTCATCTTCATAGACGAGAAGAGCAATTAATCCCCTTGCGGCCGGGTGTTTAACGAAGAAGTGTGATCCCTTTGACTTTGTTTATAACCCAGACTCCTACATGACTTTTGCTTTTCTTAGCTTCCACACCTTGTTACATGTGTTACCATCAAAACATGGGGGAATGATCATGTATCTTTCTTTATTTAAGTCGTTATGAAGAAAGCCATTTTTTACATCATACTGCAGAAGTTTCCAGCCTAGGTTAACAACTAATGATAACAGGATCCTTACGATTTCATCTTTGTAACATGAGCAAATGTCTCCAAGTAATCAACGCTATAAGTTCGAGCGTATCTGTTGGCCACTAACCTTGCCTTACATCTCTCAAGGGATCCATCAACATTGTATTTTGTTGTAAAGATCCACTTGCAATCAACAATGCTTTTTCCTTTCGGCTTATCAACAATCTATTTCATTCTTTTCTAATGCACTCATTTACTCCCTCATAGTATCCCTCCATTCCCTTCTTGATAATGCCTCTATAACATTATTTGGGATAGAAATGGAATTTAGGCTCATACTGAACATTTTGTGGGTTGGTGATGGGCGCTCAACGGAGACAGTGAGATAATTGATACAATGGTCGTTTAGTGCATTCTCTGGTGCCTTTTCTCTTAGCAATGGGTAGATCATCTTCTGTCGGTAGGAGCATGTTGTGAGTGTAAAGGTGCATTAGATCGTTTCGTGTTCTAATTTCTAGGGTTTTGAGTCATAGTTTTGTAGAAAACTTGAGTAGGGTTCGGAGAACTGTTGGGAAGATTGACTCTAATAGGGTTTGAATTAGGTTCATTGCGAGAGTTGGATGACTCTGATGTGACTTTCTCCACAGACTCATGGAGTTAACATAACGAGATGGGAGGTCAAGTCAACGCTAAACAATATGATCACCACACTACTTAAGGATGTTAAACATGCTAATATAAGACACAACAATGCTAATTTAAAGTTCACTAAAGTTACATATCAGACCGAAGAATTACAAAACCTTAAGCCTATAGAACTATTATGAGCATCATGTATGCTTTGACTCATCGGCTTGGTAAAAGGCTCTGTTGGATTGTCTTCTAATTAATAAGCTCATGAGCTTGGTCTTACACTTACTTCACTGTTGAGAACTTCCGATATCTTCATGTCACCTCGATTAATGATCTCTCATATAAGGTAATACCGTATAAGAATATGCTAGGAGCGCTGATGTGATCTTGGTTCTTTCGCTTGTGTTATGGCACCCTCATTGTCACAATATATCTCGACAGTGTCACATATGCTAGGAATCACTCATAGGTTTGTAATGAATTTCTTCATCCAATAGCTTCCTTTGTGGCGTCCGACGCTGCAGTTTACTCGATTCTCTAGTGGAATATGCTATCGTACTTTGCTTGTAGCTCTTCACAGAACTACCTTTTGACACAAGCACATATCTTGACTGCGATTTGAAGTTGTCACGACCAGTTTGGAAAATAGCACTTGTATATCCTTGGACACACAAATCTCCTTCTAGACAACCGTATAGCAAGAACATATCCTTAGTTTTTCTTAGATACTTGAGGATATTCTTTACTACCACCGAGTGAACATCATTTGGATTTGATTGGTACGAGCCAGTCATGCTTAAGAGACATCTTGTCTAGTACATAACATGGCGTAGATAATGGATATTGCGGTCAAAACATAGGGAACACCTCTCATACGATCCATACTGGACACTGGGGTCTTGCTCAGTTGTATTCCATGTACCGTTCCCAAGTTTCCTCTCTTGGAACCCTCCATCTTGAAAGGTCTCAAGATCTAATCAATGTATGTACTCTGGCTTAATCCAATTAAGCACTTAGATCTATCCCGATAGATCTTTATACCTAGAATATAGTTTGCCTCATCTAAATATTTCATTGCGAAACACTTCGTGAGCCACGCTTTTACACCTTCGAGCGTTTGGATGTCGTTTCCGGTGATCAATATGTCATGTCATCAACACAGAGTATTAGGAACGCTACAGTGCTCCGACTGGCCTTGTATACACAAGGTCCATCATCGTTCTTGTCAAAATCAAACTTCTTGATTTTCTTGTCAAAATGAAGATTCGAACCGAGAGATGCTTCCTTCAGTCCATAAATGGACTTTTGCAACTTGCATACCGTATCAGGATACTTCGGACGTTTAAAACCTTCTGGTTGTACCATGTGTTTTTCTTTGCTCAATGTTCCGTTAAGGAATGCGGTTTTAACATCCATCTGTCATATCTCGTAATCATATTGCATCTATAGCAAAAAGAATTCTGATAGACTTAATCATGGCTATTGGAAAAGAAGTTTCATCATAGTGAACTCCCTAAGTTGGGGTGAAACATTTTGCTACCAACCTAGCCTTATAAATATGCACAATCCCATCCATGTCGGTTTTTCTTCTCGAAAACCCACTTGCACCCTACAACCTTGTAGCCGTGGATTGCATTTTGGCCTTCATGGCATCATGCCCATTTTTAGGTTCTAAACCTAACACGTCCTCTTGATAAGTCACAGATTCATAATGAACTATGTCGTCATTGCCTATAAGATAACCATGCCAGGCGCTTGATGAGTCCTACTTGATGTACGGATTGTTTGTATCATCTGTCTCCACGATAGCTTGTTGAGATTCAACATCATGTTGATCGCTAGCGTCAACCATTGCATCATATTGTGGTTCTTGAATTTCTTCCAAGATCTACTTAATATTATGTTGTGGTTCTTGTTAGAAAATCATTTTCAAAGAACTCACCACGACAAGAAATAAAGGTTTTGTTTTGAAGAAATAATATCCAATAGTCTCTTTGGGATATCCATATTTCATAACCCCATACTCTTATATAAGATGTCTTTGGAATCTTCTCAGTCCATAACTAATATTGGGTTTTGTTGGTCTTTTTGGTTTGCACAATGTTTAGTATGTGTGCAGCAGTTTCTAGGATGTAACCCTAAAAACGCTTAGGTAGAGAGGTACGCTCATCATAGAATGAACCATGTTCAATATGGTTCCATTTTCTCCTCTTGGATACACCATTATGTTGCGGTGTCCCAGGTGAAGTGAGCTGGGAAACAATCTCATATTCTATAAGATGGTTGCTAAACTCTTGGCTCAAATATTCACGACCTTGGTTCGACCGAAGAGTTGTATCTTGCCAAGTTGATTCTCTACTTCATCCTAAAAACTTTTGAAAACTCAAAACTTTCATATTTGTTTTTCATTAGGTAAACATACTCGTATCTATTGAAATTATTAGTAAAAGTACTGTAGTAGTGATGACGATTGCTTGTGACATAAGTAAAAGGACCACGTACATCAATATGTATAATTCCAAGTAGTTCACTTGCCCTCTCGGGCTTGCCTATAGAAGTCTTTTGTCATTTTGGTCGGTAAACAAGATACATGTATGAATCATCGCATGACTCTTTTCGTTTGATTAATTTTAGAAAGGATTTTGCAATTAAATATAACAATAATATAATATGCAAAAAATAAATAAATCAATGCAAAATATCCAACCAACACAACATATGCTATAGCCTGCCTAATGTGGGGTCGACACCGGCGGGGTTGACACCGGCGGGGTTGACACCGACAACCATGGTCAAACTAGGGACGTCTTCAAGCTCCCACTAGTCTAGTGAAGTTTGGGACTCCGTCTTGATTCTTTGGAACGTTGTCTTCGATTTCGGTTATAATACAATTTGAAATAAAAGGATAAACATAACCTAATCTATTACAAATACATTTAACCGGAAACGACAAGCATGTTGCATTTTAAAAATTACAACCGCAACCAATTAAATACATTTTAATTTCCCAACCTAAAACAAAGACAACCAAAAAGGTTTGGGGCTATACCATCCATATCACAATGCTAATAAACATCAAAGCAATTTGACCAAAATAAATAAACATAAATAAAAAGGCCAAAGACGGCTTACCTCGGGAACCCCACATAGGACCCTAAAACCATAGCAAGGAGGGACATGACCAACATGGGATACCCATGAGACGGCCTAAGGGATCAGTCAGCCGCGGCCCACCAGCCACAACGTGCAGGCCAGTGGCCCAGCTGCAGGGCCAGCGACCAGAACCGCACAGGCATGGGGCGCAGGCCATGACCATGGCGCACATGATGCAGGCCGGGGTTTTTTCTGATCCAATTTTGTTCCGACAGTCCAATTGTGTGTAAAACTGGTTATGATACCAATGTTGGGTTTTAAAAAGAACTGGTTATGAACACAGTGGAAGCATTAAAATTTTGATCTACATGGGTTAATTTCAGAATTTTTTTCATAAAACAAACCCACAATCGGATCCAATTACATACAAATTGAACATAAAACAAACCATAGGGTGTCTGGAATTGTATCTTAGGGTTTGTAAGCATTGAACATAAAACAAACCATAGGGTGTCTGGAATTGTATCTTAGGGTTTGTAAGCAGATAAGTTAGCACTAAAACGAAAATAGGTTTCCTCTATAGTGATACACACACAAACCGCTTCTAGTTCGTTGTAGTGCTAGCTCCAAAATCCCAAATCTTCTAGATTGTATGTGTTTCAACACAGAGAGGAATCTCTCTTTGTTGTGATGTGGCCGAAAATTTCAAGGGATTAGAGGAATGGGTACAGATCTTATTCTATATATAGTTAGCATGAATTAGGGATTAACCTTAATCTTCCCAACATGAGCCAGGCTTTCCATTAAGCTTAATCCTTAAGGTCATTATATACCATTAAAAACCCATTAATCTTTAATAGGTTTTATTTAAATTTATTAACTTAATCAATTATATAAATTTACTCATAAACCCTTGTAATTAACATTATTAAATTTTTGACACTTCTATTATCCTACATGAATATATGATGTTATCCAGGTTTTTGATGATCCAATGATCTCATTGAAGCATATGTATTATTTGTGTGCAATCTTATAAGTTTACGTAAGCAGTGTCATCGTTTGACATGTGAAATATACGAGAATATTTCTCTCATATATTTTCTCACCTTGTATATGTAGAAGTGGGTTCTTGGGCTTGAATATAGAAAACATAAAGGAAACCGTTATGCATAATGGCAATCTTGTAAGAACTAAAGAAGAATCAACCTTGGGGATGGTTGCAAAGTTTCTCATGGCTATGTGATACCTTGTCCCAGAAACATTGTAACATTGAATACATGTATCAATTTGACTATTAATCAAATGTCTTAAATGCTCCTTGGAAATGAATCACATAAGAATCTTGTTTATCTAAATAAATATCATCAGTTCTTTGTGATGACAATGGACAAGCCAACTCTAACATGGAATCTCTCCAACAAAGTTTTCACATTGCATCTCAAAAGGAGAAGGTTGCAAGTTTTTTTCCTGATGGAGCTGAGTATTTTTGTTTAGACAGTATTTAGGCAGTTGATAAGATTTAGGGGCCTTTACTGAGCACTCACTGGTAAAATTCAACACTATCACTTACTTGTTGGGTAAGATTTTAATCCACCAAAACGGCATTGTATGCAACTATTTACCCGGTAAGCGCTAACTGTGGTAAGAATCGTCGCCCTCACTTACATCTTGGTCCTTGACTTACTTTTACCGAGTAAGACTCTTGATTCTTACCATATTCATCCGGTAAGGTAATGTAACTTGGTATGTGGTAAACGGCCCCTTAACCTCCCATCTCGAAAGCTATGGTAACTATTCAACTGTTTGTTGGTTGCAGATGGGGTAACACGCCTCTTGATGAAGCTCGAGTTGGTGGAAGTAAGGAACTGGTAAAGATGCTTGAAGATGCTATTTCGGATGCGTGACGGTGATCTAGTACTTAATATTTCTAGCTGGCAAAGGAAAGGATATGAGTGAGTTCAAGTTAACCATTCTTATTGCTTAATGCACTCCTATCATATGTTTTAGCTTATGAAATATTGTTATATTGGTATTCAAATGGGAATAAATATGAAACAGCAACTATGTTGAAGACTTCACTTTTTTTACAGTCTTATTTGTTGTGGAAATATGAGACTAATTTGCCTTCCTAAGCGCAAAGTCAAACTAAAAGTCAACAGTCCCCCAAATCTCAGGTAAACAAATCATCCAAATTGATTCAATGTGGAACATGATAGTAGCAACTATGTAATAGTGAGTAGAGATGCAGAGAGGACCGCTTAACCGATCTTGGACGGGTAAGGATTGAGGACTGGTCTTTTTAAAAAAGGCCCGGTTATAGGTGAAAGCCCGTTTTGGTAATATATTATTTTCTGTAATCTCAAAATGACTGGTTAAGGCCGTCATGTTAGGGCTGCTGGTCGGGATTTGGTCCTGAATTTTTGGCAAAGGACTGGTTACGTCCGCCGGTTCGGTCTTGCTAAAAAGGAGTGGTCTTTTTAAGGTTCGGTCCTTGTACACCTTAAATGGTGAGAACAAGCAATGTCTAATCGACTATAATAATGCAATAACTAAAGAGACGTTAAAATTTTACGTGGAAACCAAATCAGAAAAACCATGGGTAATGATGTTGAGAACTGATTCACTTTATTGATTTCGATGATTAGAAGGTTAAAGATTACATTAAGTAAGTTTTGTATGGGTAGGGTTGGTTAATTTAGGAGAATTGCAGATCTTAGAAAGAGACCAACTTTGGGAATAAAACTTTTGACATGCGACTTCAGATTGCATGATACAAGTTGGCCGGTTCGAAAATTGTGTAATGAAATGGTTTAATTGAATAAGTGAAATTGGAATAGATTGATAGTACTGCTTCAACTTGACAAGAACATAAGAACTCCTTTCGTTTGCAGATTCTAGATTCTGAAGGAATGTGGTGGAATTGGAATGTTGAATCATTTTCTCGTTTGGTTTATTGTTTTTCATGAAATGAATCATCAAACCTTAGCAACTATATATGGTATTTTGAAAGAAAAAAATTCTCTATTTTCATAATACCAAATATACCCTTAACCCAATATACCATAAATCTTATAAAACCCGATATGACCACCATCGTTTTGAATCACTTCCGATCATTGCCATTTGAACCACCGGCGACCATCACCGATCTGAACCACCGTCGATCTCAACCACCGCCAATCTAAACCATCGCCGATCACCTACATCTGAACCGCCATGGACCACCACTGATCTGAACCAGTGTCGACCACCACTACCACCGATCTAAACCACCGCCGACCACTAGCGATTACCATAGATATGAATCACCTCCGGCCACCGCCGATCTAAACCACCGTCGATTTGAACCACCTCCGACCACTGCCAACTGAACCACCACAGACCACTACCAATCTGAACTACTGCCGACCACTACCGATCTGAATCACCGCCGAGCCGACCACCACCAAATTAGCTATTTTACATGATAAAGAATTAGCTATTTTGAGATGATTTCAATATCGGTTTTGTAACGTCATTTGGTTTATGATTATATTTGGGTTATGTATTTGATATTGTTTTACACATTAAATAATTGTTTTATTAGTTTTATAAAAAATTAAAATCTTCATAAAAAGACATTTTGTTTATTTATCAATATTTCATTTCAATTCCAAAGTTACATTATGTGAACCAAACAGACAGATTTCAATTTATTAACATATTCCATTCCAATGTCTGCCAACCAAACCAAATAAGTGGTTAAACCTGACAACATTTTATTTTAATTTCTTTAAAATAAAAATAATTTAACAAATTTCATATCATACAAAAACATTTTCCAAACCAAACAACACGTAAGGATTTATGGCTATTCAAGAGGCCAAATCTCTACTCTCCCACCACACTCCTATTTATACTATCAATTCATTCTAGAATATCAAGCCAGCTACGTGTACTTTTGGGGCTTGTCCTTTGTGTTCCTTGGACTTGCTTTCGGTTGAGAGTAATAAGTTTTTTTTAGTATATAACATGTATATATATATATATATGACAAATACAACAATAAACTCACATATCTTTTTCATCTTTAGTAAGGTTTCCTTGATTTCTTAGGAGGTCAGAGACTACAATACCGCTAGGGTAAAAAGACCATTTGGTGAGTCCCAAACTTGATAGGTGTATTTTTTTTTAATATTATTTGTCAGAAGTGTTTTTCTAAAAAAATGTCTTTCAAACAAACGAGTTGCTCATGCGACTTGAGCTCACCGGGAGCAAAAGCTCTAGTATTATTCCATCAATTTTCTAAAGCATTTTACTGTTTTGATATTTATGGTCTGTTTGGTTCATGCTGAAGGATGAAAATTAAAATGACAGTGAATGAAAATGTAAATGAATTTTCATTCCCCCCCCCCCCCTTCCCCCCAGTTTAAGCATAAATGAAATTTTGGCCTTCTGGGAAAGCTGATTGTATTATAGAAAACCAAACAGTTTCTTTTATTTTTATTTCCATTGATTACTGTTTAATAACTCTAACCAAATAACCCCCTTGGTATATTGAAACAAATGAGAATATGCCCCTTCCATGGTTTCTTTTCTTATTCTTTAGATCTTATATTGGGGAAGCCTTTGAACAATTGGTATTGTTAATGTTTTGGAATGGTAACGAAACGAAAGACCCGTTTTAGAATAGCAGATTGTGTTTCGGTGAGAATGAGAGTTAAAATGAAAAACGTACGAAAGAGATCTACACCCTTGGATGCACATTAAAATGAGATGCATCGAGATACACCAGATCAATCAATCTCTGTATCAAGCACGATTCATAGGTGAGTTTGAGATTAAAGGTGATCAAATGTTTAGAACTCTTCTTACACTTCTCTCACAATCCTTTGCCTCAAAATAACAGCCTCTTAAATTGTTGAAATTAAAACATACAAGCACTAGCAGGAAACATTACTTGTTGTTACCAAAGGGCCGTTAGTCTAGGGGTATATGAGTATTTGGTCTCCTAAGAGGTCAGAAGTTCAAACCTCACCAAAGATGAAGATGATGTATGAATTTATTGTTCTATTTACCGTATATAAATATTATATACTTAAAATTGCGTATAGGAGTCGACATTGCTACATTGGAATTAAAATAAATAAAAATTATACAAAAAATGTTTTTTTTAAACACAAAAATCTTAAATATTTTGAGAACCATCTATCTTATTTATTATTTGAATAAAATTAAATGATAGTAAATATTATTTATCATGATTATATGGCACAACATACATCATTAATATTTATCCCACTGTTCATCATTAATCCTACAAAAAGTAGACAGTTCCCGGGTTCTCAAAATATTTAAGATTTCTAAATTCACTTGCCCCTTCAATATATGTATGTATGTATGTATGTATGTATGTATGTATGTATGTATGTATGTATGTATGTATGTATGTATGTATGTATGTATGTATGTATGTATNTATGTATGTATGTATGTATGTATGTATGTATGTATGTATGTATGTATGTATGTATGTATGTATGTATGTATGTATGTATGTATGTATGTAGGTTCAAAAGAAAACATATCCATTTACGCAAATACGATAACACCCTTATTACATGTGATAATACACGTGAGGGGACATGTGGTGGGTGGACGACGTGCCCTCCGGCTTAGGTTACGCCAAAGGTCGTCTATATATTTAGTATCACATGTGACATATTCTATTATCACATGAATAACACTTTTATCATAAGTGATAATATGTTATTATATTCATTTTAATCGAAATTATGTTGGTTATGACGTTTTTGTGTATTTTATAGTTCACATTGTGTTGGTAGTTTTTTCTTTAATTATTACTACGAGCGCAAGTCATATGTTCAAATGGAACGAGACTTGGTAGTAAAGTTTTCGGTATCGTTCAAGCTATTATGGATAAACTTATAGTTCATATGAAGGAACTATTGTTCACAAGTGTTCATATTGTGTTTATATGTACACTAGCTGCATATCTCAACATTAGCTCCCTCCTGAATGTGTTCATAATGAAGTAACTATTGTTCACAAGTTGTTCATATTGTGTTCATATGTATGCTAGCTGCATATCTCAACATAATTTCGCTCCCGAATGTCTTCATAATGAAGGAACTATTGTTCACAAGTGTTCATATTGTGTTTATATGTACATTAGCTGCATATCTCAACATTAGCTTCCTCCTGAATGTGTTCATAACGAAGGAACTATTGTTCACAAGCTGTTCAGATTGTGTTAATACCTGTTGTTTTATTTATTTCATTTTGTGTAGCAGCTATTCTTATTATGTTCATATTGTGTTCATAAATGCTATGCAGTCCACGTTCATATATATGTCAATTTTTGTTTGTATTTGACACAATAGTTCATATATATAGATGTGTTCATATGGTTCTTACATTAATAAAAATAAATTAACAAAAATAATGAGAATTTTTGATTTTGTAACTTCCAATTAATGATATGGGAGTTACATAAATTTTTTTTACTTAAATACCCTTTTTCCTTTTGTTCACATATGTTTTTTGAAATTGTAAATTTTAAAAATTAATTTTTTATCATGATCAATCACAACCGTTTATTGTAAGAATCAATGGCCAAGATTGGTTAACAAAGTTAACACAATAATCTTGGTTAACATTTGAACCAGCCCATATATATATATATATATATATATATAGGGTTGGATTCACGTGAAATCAGCCTTGTTTTTGTGAGACTCATGAGACCACTTTTTTACACTTGAAACTTATCAAAAAAACGCTATGAAGGTAAAAAAAAGCCGAACCTTCACAACAAAAACACTGTGAAGGTTACCTTCACAACGTATTCCTATAAAGTTTCAAGTGTAAAAAAAGGGTCTCATGGGTCTCACAAAAATAGGTTGGTTTTATGTGATCTCATATATATATATATATATATATATATATATATATATAATTATAAACGATTTAAAATATATTAAAAAAGAATTATTAGGTAAAACAAGCTCACAACAAGATTTAAGATCTACGATAAAAGAAGAAGACATAGATAAATTCTAATCCTGCTAATG